ACATATTGTACTTTAGGCCTTAATGATATATAAGCTTCGTAAACTTTGATGTCATCTACTAATCTATCTTAACATCTGGGTTTTCAAAAAGTCAGGCAGTTAAAGTGTAAAGAGAAGGAACAGTACAAAACTTCTTCATGAGGCATCGTTATAGCATCAGTATATTTCGAAATGGTGATGTCCAACCTTAACATTATTTCCGATCTTCTCTTTGGATGAATCAACAAGAGAGCATCAATAAAATTCCTTCATCAATATCCAAGCTCCAATCAAACACTATATCAACTAAGTTGATGGAAGGGGCTCAATGATTACCATATTTATACCTTCTAGTCATTTAGTAGTTTATGAACGCTTTTTGCAGAATGGATGTTACTCGTGTCGGCACCCTCAAAGGCACTGATAAGTTCGGCAACAAGTACTATGAAGATAATTCATATTTTGTGCCACGCAACAGATGGGTAGAGTATCCAGAAAAGGTGAAACTTCTATTCAGTAACTGATAATCTAAGTTTAACACTAGCTTCTGATATCTCTAGGTTGAGATATCCTTAATTATCAATGCTACCATTTTCTTGTCCATATTCTCTCACACCTCCTACTCATTCTCTTCGCTTTCATCTTCAAAATTGTACTCTGTTCTACTTATTCGACTTTGTCATTATCTTTTGGATATTAGGATTCTGGATACTTTATCAACTTTTTACAGAAATAATATTTTTGTCCCAGTTCTCCTTTTTTAAATCCAAAACGAAGTTGTGAATGTGAAAGCCTTGTTATGAATTCTAAGTTGTATGTTGCTAGTCATTGTTGTTTATTTTGGGCGCATTCAAAGAAATTTGCACTCGTATATTATGTACTTGAATAGGTTCTATTAGGAGTGATGCGAATTTTTCAGGTGTGGCTCGACTATGACGCAACACAAATTCCTCCAGAATGGTGAGACTTTTACAAACCCCTACTTTTTTATCTGCTGAAATTTGTAACATCCGCTGAGCTTGATAGAGCTTCCACTTAATAATGTTGTCTTTTCTCAGGCACCGTTGGCTTCATCACATAACTGACCAAACTCCCGAAGAAAAACCCCTTAAAACCGAGAAGTGGGTTTTGCAACACGAGGAGAATCTTTCAATCTTTGAGTAAGTGAAACTGATTGTTGTATACGATGCTGTGGAAGAATGATGAATAAGCTATTTTGGTAGTTTTACAGGGACAAGAAGTACATCCCTTATTCGACAACTCGCACAAAAATACAGGGATGGCAGCCTGGCCAAAAGAAACAAGAATAATCAACTGCATGTTTAGACTTGTAAGGTTAGATAGATCAATAAACACTAAGCTTGGAAATAACTATTC